GAACAGATTAACCGTAATTACATTGAACCTTATGGGAAAATTTGATTCAGGTCGCGACCAATTCGGGTCGCAACCAGAGTCGCGGAACGAATTAAGTTCGTCACCCGAGGTACCACTGTAGTTGATTGCAAACTGAATGTGATTCAGCAATGTAATATGGCTGCAAAAAAGGCAAATGTGGTTTAATGTTGCATCAACAGAAGTATAGTTATCAAATCATGAGAAGTAATAGTGTCTTTTAATTATGAATTGATCAAACCCCTCCTTGAGTACTGTATCCAGTTCTAGGCACCACACTTTAAGACAGTTTCAGATTCAGACAAATTGGAATAGGTGCACAGAAGGTAAATAATGTGATCTGGAAATTAAAAACTAATTTCTATGAAGAACAATTGGAAGGACAGGGATTTTCTACCCTTGAGAAGAGATGAGTGAGATGAGGCAGGGCAAAATTGGATTGATTTAGTCAGAAGTGGCATATTTTTTTCTAAATTTAAAAACAAAACATGAATTTGGATTATTGCGTTCATGATTTAAATAATTTTTCAGTCAATTGAAATTCTGAAAAACAAATTGTCCTTTACAATTTGTACAATACAAATGGCTGAACGAAATGAGTAACCCTGGAAGCCAGTGTTCTAACCACTCGGTCATGTTTCAGTTCCTGGTTCCTCAATTCCATGATTCCTAAAGTTTCCTAAAAATCCTACTGGATTTTGAGAATTTCAGGTGGAGCTGCAAATACAGTTGGAACTATAGCATTTGCTATTCCAGAGCAAACCTGAAATATAATTACTGAGTCTATGTAGAAGAGTTGCAAACTCATCCCATATATTTTAATTTATTTACTTATTAATCAAATTTATATAGCAGCCCATCTCACAGAAAAGCAACTTAGAGTGGCTTACAACAATCCAAGAAAAACAACACATACATAACAATCAGAATAAGAAAATATAAAAATCAAAATTAAAAGATAAATATGATAAAAAAAACAAATATACAAACCCTAGGCAAGAGAAAATAAGGATAGCTAACTCAACAATAGAGCCATCTAAACATGTCTTTGGTTCCCTGGGAGCCCCAGGCCAGGTGACACAACCAGGTCTTGAGGAACTTCTGGAAGGTCAAAAGGGATGGAGCTAATCTAATATCAGGGGGAAATGTTCCACAAGGTAAGCACCACAGTAGAAAAGGCCTGATGCCTGGGACCCACCAAATGTACATCCCTAGCTGATGGTAGCCTCAGCATGCCTTCTCTGCTAGATCTGATGGGGCAGGCTGTTGTAATTGGAGAGATGCAGTCCCTCAAATAACCCAGTCCCATGTCATGAAGGGCTTTAAAGGTTAAATCCCATAACTTTAAAGGTTAAACTTTAAAGGTTAAATCCCATAACTGGTAAATAATTGATAGCTGTAATTTTTTTTCTTATTATAGCACCATCCATCAGAACAATCACCTTTCATCTTCTGTTTTACTGAAAATCTTAACATATAAAAATAAAGTGTAAAAAATATTTGTGCGTGTGAAGAGTGCTTAACCTTTGATTACATTCCGCTCAGCAGACTTGGTGTTTGAGCTAGATTAAGAGTTTTTCTTCACTGTTGAGTTAAAGTGGTTTCTACCCTTCCTTAAGTTGGCAAAAATATTGGCATGAAATTTACTGAATACTGCAAATCCCTATCCTGCCTCTATTTCCTCTGTTCCCTGTCACTGCCAGTGGCCTGGTTGCCCTCTAAGTTAGTGCTTGGCAAATCCTAACAGATTTTACACACCTTGTGAGTGTCCTTGAATGTACCATAATAGGGAAAAAATGCTACTTCAGCACTGGTACAGCTAAGGACAACGTAAAGATGTTTCACTTATGAACTGAGGATGAGATGTGCAATGTTAGAGGGACATGGTAAAAAAAAAATATTGTCAGGGCATGTTTGTGTTGTGGTTAGGCACAAGTGGGGAAGACCTTAAGAGAAATTTGTGCATCATGCTACTCCACTCTAGAATTTAAAGCCATGATTTGTTTCACAGTTTTATTCTTGGTTTTACATTTCAATTAGTGTTGACCAAAAATAGTAGTCCCCCGGAATGGAAAAAACACATAGTCATACCTAAATAAGCAATGCAAAGAAATTAAGGATAAGAGATGTATTTAAGAAAATTATGCAAACATTATGCAAAGATGTGCATGATAAAAACAAAGAAGAAAAAAATCTACTGAAGGAGGAAGATATAAAGAAGAGATATCATGAATGCATATAGAAGAACTGTACAAAAAAAGATTACAAAATCAATGTTATGTATAGTGGTTTAATCAATGAACTAAAGACAGGCATTCTGGAAAGTGAAGTTAAACAGAACCTGGAACATACTGCTACCAACAAAGTTGCAGGGGTTAGTTAAATATCAGCAGAACTGTTTAAAACCTTCCAAGATTATGAATTCAAAGTGCTACATGGGGTTTTTGAGCAGTGGCCAAAAGTCTGAAAAAGATCAATTTACATTCCAGTGCCAAAAAGGGCAATGCCAAAGAATGTTCAAACTACCAAACAACTGCATTTATTTCACATGCTAGTAAGCCAACACTCAAGATGTTGTAATCCAGACTTCAGCAATGCATAGAACAAGAACTGCCAGATATACAGGGTGCATTCAAGAAGAGGCAAGAGTGCTTGAGATCACACTGCTAATTTCTGATTGATAAGGGGAGCAAGGGAGCTCCAAAAAAAAAAAAACCACCTATTTTTTTAATTGATTATTTAATTGATTTAAAGATTTTTGACTGAGTAGACAACAAATTGTAGTAGCCCTTAAAAAATGTAAGTGGACCAGGCTGTCTCATTTGCCTATTGAGGAATTTGTATGATGACCAGCAATTTATATAATGATGGATGGAAGCAAGGAAGACTTTAAAAATCTCTGGTTGAACATGAAGGAACAGAGTACTGAAGGGATCAATAACTAAATTGACAATATTAACTGCATAGCTTTAGAGTAGGCGTAGAGTTTTTATATATATTCAAGCTTCAATA